TTGCAACTGAACTGAACCCCAGTTCCGGGCTCATTGGGGGAGAGCCTAGACTGCTTGGTAGCAGGCGAAACTCGAGGGCACCTTTCTCTCAGAGGTGCTTGCAACGAGTACTGAAGGACCCTGGGGATTATTGAGACTCAGGAACCGCATAGGGCGGGGCTAACGGAAGCCAAGGCTATAGGCTCCACCCTGAAACTTCGCCCCATAAGGAAATAGATCAGTGTTTTTCAACCTTTTTTGGGCAAAGGCACACTTGTTTCATGAAAAAAATCACGAGGCACACCACCATTAGAAAATGTTAAAAATTTTAACTCTGTGCCTATATTGACTATATATAAAGTAATTCTCTTGAATAGGAATCAAATAAACACAAAGAAAGTATTTTATAATTACTTTATTATGAAATATTAAGTAAACAAAATAGTGAAAAATTATAAAATTCTTGTCTTGTCTGCACCTACGGCACACCAGGCAACATCTCGCGGCACACTAGTGTGCCGCGGAACAGCGGTTGAAAAACGCTGAAATAGATCACAAATGAAAGAAATGGAGGACAAAAAGCGACTGGATATAGAGTTCAAATCTACGCTTATAAGGTTTTTCAAGAATTTCCTAGAAAAGGTCGATAAGACCTATGAGGATATGAAAAGGGATCAATTAGAATTAATAAGGAATCAACAAGAAATGATAAGGGATCAACAAGAAATAAAGAATACATTGTCTGAAATAAAAAATATTACACAGAGTCCTAAAAACAGAATGGAAGATCGCAAGAATCAAGTCAAAGATTTGGAACATAAAGAGCCAGAAGACACTCCTCCACAGAAGCTAGAAAGCAAGAGAATCCAGAAAGTGGAAGATAATGTAAGAAACCTCTGGGACAACTTCAAGCGAACCAACATCAGAATTATGGGGGTCCCAGAAGATGAGAGAGCAAGATATCGAAAACATACTGAAAGAAATAGTGACAGAAAACTTCCCCCACCTGGTGAAAGAATTAGACTTACAAGTCCAGGAAGCGCACAGAACTTCAAACAAAAGGAATCCAAAGAGGACCACACCAAGACAAATCATAATTAAAATTCCAAGAGCAAAAGACAAAGAGAGAATATTAAAAGCAGCAAGAGCAAAGCAGGTAGTTACCTATAAAGGAGCACCTATATGATTGTCAGGTGATTTCTCAATAGAAACCATGCAGGCCAGATGGGAATGGCAAGAAATATTCAAGGTGATGAACAGTAAGAACCTACAGCCAAAGATAATATACCCAGCAAAGCTATCACTCAGAATTGAAGGCCAAATAAAGAGCTTCACTAATAAAAAAAAGCTAAAGGAGTTAGTTCATCACCACCAAACCAGAGTTATATGAATTGCTGAAGGGGGTTCTTTCAGAAGAGAAAGTAAATAAAGATAAAAATTATGAATAACAAATACATAACTATCAACAAGTGAATCTAAAAACCAAGGAAACTTTTTAAAAAATCTGATGAACAATATTAACTGTTGAATATAATAGAATCAGAGGTATGGAAGGGGAGTGAACTGACGATTCTTGGGGAAAAGGGGAGAGGAGGATGTGGGAAGAGACTGAACATAAACTGTGCACCTATGGATGAGGACAGTGGGGGGTGGGGAAAGGGCAGAGGGTGGGGTGGGAACCTGGTGGAGGAGAGCAATGGGGGGGGGGGGAGAAACAGGAACATTTGTAATAATATAAACAATAAAAATTTATTTAAAAAATAAAATAAAAGATGGAGGGGAAGGACAAAAAAAACAATAAATTTGAATAATTTACATGCCCAATTTCATAGATTACATAAAACTTTATACCAAACCAACATGCATTATTCTTCAGAACACTAGCCATGATCCCCTTCCCCAAATTATTCTGAAATTCATCTGGGAAAATGTGAGAAGAACCCAGCACTTCTTCAATGACTAAGAACACGCAGAAAGAAGGCTGTTAGCATTTGTGTGCCTGCAATCAGAGGACTACTAGTCTTAGGATGGTTATCTCAAGCCACCTGTGGCTACTGAGCACCTGAGCTGTGGTTAGTCTGGACAGAAGGCTGGAAGTGGGACATATGCACACCAATTTCAAAAACTGAGTAAAGTAACTCATTAATATTTTTAATGTCCATTACATATTGAATTGAGATAAAGGGTCACACTATTATTGATTCAAGCTGCTTCTTTTTCCTTTGTATTATGGCTCCTAGGAACATTTAAATTACACTGGAGGCTCTTATATTTCCATTGGACAGCGCTGGTCTAGAAATACCCCTGATTCTCCATCTTCCTGCCCAAATGTGTCCACACTTCCCAATGGAGACTATGCTTTCCTTTGAGCCCAGCATCATCCATTAGAAGGCTCACCCTGTTGGCCTTGATGCTACAGGTGTTTTCTGATCTGGTTTACATTACTAAGATTTTAATTTTTCATATAAGCAAAATGACTGATCTCTCCTGTTGTAATGTTTTGGTTTTTTTCATTCAAAGTTTCAAAACTTTCCCATGAGCCGATCATTTACCCACAGTGGCGTTTATCTGGGGAGACGGGACAAGCACCGTCCTCCTCCCAAGGCTTCAGAGGAGCCATGGCTGAGGGAACCCGGCAGGGGCAAAGCCTCAGCTCAGCTCCTTCCAAAACCCACTTTCTACCATCACCACCTTCCACCTCCAGGCCAGTCTGCCTTGCTGGGTTGCCGTGAGGACCAAGTCTACTTGTAAAACAGCAGTGTCCGAAACAGTGAGCACTTCATAACTCTGGCTACTAACTTGTTTTATCCTAAGCCTGTGATGGTTAGAAATCCCGCTATGTGGCATAGCTGAGGCTGTATGAGGTGTACCAGCACCCTAGAACCAGCCCCCCCGCCCCAATTCTACCAGGGCCCCGAGGGGAGGCCGCTTACACAAGTATCTGAAGGGAGAACAGGCTGAGAACTCGAGCCTCCTCAGGCCAGCATCCCACTTCCCTCCGACAGCCCAGGCCACCAACCTCTCCAGCAATGGCTTTTCCCGGGACTTTTCAAACACACTGGGTGGTGCACAGGTAATTGATTCAAAGAACAAGTCTAAAAAGTACGTGCCAGAATGGCGGAGCTGGACCTCTAGAAATCTGTTCCTCCGTAAAAGTGACCAGATTGTCCTAGCCGGTTTGGTTCAATGGATAGGGATCAACTGAAAGGTCCTGGGTTTGATTCCAGTCAAGGCAGGTACCTCAGTTGCAGCTCCCAACCCTGGTCGGGGGCATGTGAGAAGCAACCAACTGATGTGTCTCTCTCACCTTGGTGTTTCTATCTCTCCCTCTCCCTTCTACTCTCCAAAAATCAATGGAAAAAATATCCCCGGGTGAGGATTCAAAAAAAAAAAAGCAACAAGATTACTGGCAAAATGGTCAAAATCAACTTTTCTAGAACCATAGAAAGTAATCAAAGGCCCACATAATCGGAGAAGTGTTTTTTCAGAGCACAGGCCTTCAGCAACCTCCAGCATGTTCAATAAACCGTCCCCGGAAGGCTCAGCTGAAAGTACCTGAGACACATGGCAGCCCACCTCCTGTGCCCACTGCTTTCCTCTCCATGGGGCCTTTATCCGGGGATGCCGACTCCATCGCTTGTCACCCAGTAGACATTCCAGAGGAAGCCCCTGGCTTTGGTCTCTGTTCATCCCCGCCCCCCCCCTGCCCCGCCCCATCTTCTTCCCTGCACCCAAACTGTGCAGTTCCCTCCATTAAAACCCCTCCATGGCTCCCGAATATAAGTCCAAACCTGCACACCAGGCTTTATAAGCTCTCCCCAAACTAGCTTGAGGTCTCCCATATTTCCTCGCTGCTCCAGTGGTGAGGGCTGCACGGAAAAGGCCAGGGCCTGCTGTAACACCACTTGGCTGAAGCACTCCGATCGCCGCCGGGGCTGGGAGCTCGTGCGGCCCCTCTGCACGGCAGGCCCAGGTCCGTGATTTCACCTCATTGGCACCATTCACCACCTCTTCCTCAGAGGAGGGAAACTGGCTTTAACCACGGGTTATCGAAGCTCTGCAGAGTTCCTTCAGTGTGAAGGGCCCTGGGGCTATATCAGCTCCCCGCAGACCCCAGGGGCCTGAGTCTGCCTTTGAGGAGAGACTAGTAAGTCAAGATTTATCATCTGCTCTCGACATGTATGTATATTTTATATCATTCTTAGCACTACATGGTAATAACTTAGTAGGCCTTTATGAATGTATAACCAGCTCTGGCTGGTGTTTCTCAGTGGTTAGAGCATCAGCCTACACATAGATGGATTGTGAGTTTGATTCCCAGTCAAGGGCATACACTAGGGTTGCGAGTATGCTTCCCTCCCACCCCCACCTCACCCCCCACTCCCTGTCAGGGCACATGTGAGAAGCAACCCGTTGATATCTCTCTTACACTGATCTCTCTCCCTGCCCCCCTCCTGCCCTCCCTTTCTTCCTCCCTCCCTCCCACTTTTTGAAAAGCAATGGAAAAAGTATCCTCTAGTGTGGATTAACAAAAGAAGAAAAGGAAAAGAGAAAAAAAAAAAAAGCATAACCAAAGAATTCTGGAAACCAGCACTTTAAACTCAAACTCGGTTGTTTGAGATACTCACTGGGGAAGCCAAAGGACGCTTGCCGCCACCTTGTGGGGCATGGAGGGAAAAGGTCAGGTGGAAATTTCTGGCTAACCTGTCTTCAAAGAACCATAGCTCTCCAGCCCCACCACCCTGCAACCACCCTCTTTACTCCCCAACCTTTTTCACCATGGAACAAACGAACTCAAAGCTCTAGAGTATACAATTCAAGATTTATATAAGCTTAAGTTACTTATTTAAAATTGCACAACGCAGGAGAACAGTTTAAAAAAGAATCAAACACACCACTGCAAGGTAATTCAATGAGCTGCTTTTTTTTGTTGCTTTTTTTGCTTTTTTTTTTAAACAAATTTGTACAGAAGAAAAAAAAAAAATCCCCGGATCACAATCTGTATCACACAGCCACCCTGTTCAGTGTTCGGGGCACCACGGGAGCCCCAGCGGAGGAGCTGATGGGAAGCTGGACTGCGGAAGTGGAAAAACTTTGAGTTCCCTTTGTTCTCCAGTGTATCTTGTATAAAATATTACATTTTTAAACACATATTTACATTGTTTGCACAAATAGAAAATGGTTACAAATCAAGACCAAGCTTGGCCAGGTAACAAACACTTCCCTTCTCCCAAGGACCAAGGCCAGAGAGAGGTCTGATTGCTTTGTATTTACATATGCATTAAAAAGTCTGCCTTCTTAGACACGTAGGTGAAGTTTATAAAAACTGGGTTAACATCATAAATTCATTTATGTCAGCTGTACAAATAATCAATACCAATTAGTCAGTTCATGTCCTGCACCCTGAAGAAAGATTTTGAAGCAAAAGAAACCCTCTCAAACAAGCAACACATCCCTTGGCCTGTCTGCTCCAATCAGTTTGGCTTGGGGGTGCTGGGGAGTGGGAAGGAAGAGGAGAGGAATGGGGGAGAGGGGGAGGGGGAAGGAAGAGGAGAGGATTGGGGGAGAGGGGGAGGGAGAAGGAAGAGGAGAGGATTGGGGGAGAGGGGGAGTGGGAAGGAAGAGGAGAGGAATGGGGGAGAGGGGGAGTGGGAAGAGGAGAGGAATGGGGAGGAGGGGAGGGGGAAGGAAGAGGAGAGGATTGGGGGAGAGGAGGAGTGGGAAGGAAGAGGAGAGGAATGGGGGGAGGGGGAGTGGGAAGGAAGAGGAGAGGAATGGGGGAGGGAGAAGGAAGAGGAGAGAAATGGGGGGAGGGGGAGGGGGAAGGAAGAGGAGAGGAATGGGGGAGAGGGGGAGTGGGAAGGAAGAGGAGAGGATTGGGGGAGGGGGGAGAATGGGATAACTGGTTGAGACAGTTTTCCTTCCACATTTTTTTTTTTTTAACAGTTTAGAACCAGGTTAACCCGACTGGCCTGTTAAACACCATCCTATGGCTTTAAAAAGAACCCACAGCTCCTTCCTTGTCTCAGAGACAAAACACCTTTCTCAACATGACTACCGTATAATATTTTTTTTAAAGAAAAAAAAAAAGGACTGTCTGAGGAAGACAACATTTGTTATTCTGATGTAAAGTCTTTGCCTTGAATGTCAAGCCCAATTTCAACAGTGCAAAAAAGACTCGAGCGGCTGCGGCAGGGGTCAGAGGCTTGTGTAGTAGCTGTCTACCCACTGAGCAAGTCCTCGCTCCACCAGCGACCGGTTTATCAACACCACCTGGAAAAGAAAGTCCCCTTGAGATCTCTGCCCCCAGCACCCAGGGGCCATGCTCCCTCTGACAGGTCCAGGCAGCCACCACAGGCAACACGTGCACTAGTAATGGCGGTGGGTGTGACTCCTTTTCTGGGCCAACGGGGGCATTTACTTCTGTATTCTACTGGCATGAGGACAGGCTTTCCAATGCATTGAGAAACCTAAGCTTTAATACCATGGGATGAGGAGAGGAAAACGCCATGGGCAGAAGGTCTAGCAAGGCCCACCGACATTTTGGGCCAAATAATTCTCAGTGGGAGCTCTCCTGTGCACTGTAAAATGTTTAGCAGCATCCCTGCCCTTGACCCACTCCCAACTGTGTCAACCACCAAGGTCTCCAGACATTGCTAAATGCCTCTGGGAGACCTTGGTCTGTAGTTACATCCTCTGACTAGCTCCACGTTGATCATCACTGCTGGCCAGTAATGCAGGGAAATAGGACAGAACTTACTTCATCTCCTACCACGCTCCATAGCTGGATCAAAGGAATGCCAGTCGGACTGTAATTCGTCACCTGAAAACAAATAGAAAAATGAGTCTGTTTCGAAGTGAGCCCATGTGCCTCTCTGTGAAGACAGCTGGAGCCCAGGGCAGGAACCACAGGAAGGCAGGCAACTGAAAGGCCGGCTCTCAGGAGGCCCAGATGCTGTTTGAGTGAGGCTGGTGGGCTCTGCAGAAGCTGGGAGGTTCCTAAGACAGAGCCTGTGCGGCTGCCCCATGCCCCCCCCCCCCCCCCCCCCCCCCCCATGCCCCACCAGCCACACACCTGAGCCAGCAGAGCAGTATTTCCAGTCATCTCGCTCACAGCTGCATCCGCCTCGGGTGAGAAGTGCTCATCGTCTTTAGAAGGAAAAGCAGCATTTAGACTCTCACTGAGGCCAGGTGCTCGTCACCTACACACTTCTAGGTGTGTTCCAAGTAAAAGGCCTCACATACTGCCACGGAGCCTGAGACCTTCTGGTGTAAGAAAGCCCAGGTCTCTGCACACACTCAGGGTCCCTGCTAGGTGCTACCCACATACAGAGGAGCAGGTGGACAGGAACCCTGCCTCAGTGGAAACATCACCACTGCCGCTTATCTGGGGCTGACCGGGCTGAGCATGTTGGATACGTCCTTCCACTGGATCAGTTAACACCTTACGAGATGGCAGGTGCTACCCTACTTTATAGGTGGGAACATGGAAGACAAAGGCAGAAGGTCAACCAGCTCTGAGAGTGGTGCAGGTGGAATTCAAACCCAGGCAGTGGCCACACAGCCCAATACCGGCAATAACTATAGAATAGCAGGCAGGACACTGAGGCAGCTTTCTTCGTCAGATTATAGAAGTTACATGCAAGAACACACCCAAGGCAAGAGATGGTGAGGAAGTGAGAGGCAGGTTTACGAAGGTCTGGGAATATCTTATGGAGGAGGGAGCCTTTCAGCTGGGCCTGGATAAGTCCTGAGACGGACAGAAATGGAGGAGAAGGTTGGGCATGGGCAAAGTAATAAAGAGAAATAAAACTAAAGACCCTGCCCAGCATTCTGGCCAACAAGACCACAGCCAGACTGTAGTGCTTCTAAAGCATTTCACTGCTTTAAACAAGAACAAGATTAGATGGGGCAAACCTGGAAGGGAGGAGCATGAAATCAAGGGACTAGTAAATATAAAACTCCTGGTCATACGTAGCTGCTACCTGACCAGAGTCCACATCTCAGTTTCTAGATTCATGTAATTTCCTTGGCCACTCCCATTTTCCAGAGGGGGGACGAAGGAATCGAGGCTAAGTCACCTGCCCAGGATCACACTGCCAGTCCCCTTCCCTCAGGCAATGTGATCAGTCAAAGGCACCACAGGGGACAGGTGTGTGGCAGTGTGATCCTCACAGTGCCCGCAGAAACTGAGGCCCAGCTGAGGAGTGCCAATGGCCACAATGCCTGTCCTCAACCCCAGGTGCCAGGACTCTGGGTCTGGACTGCATCTGGAAGGCACCTGCAGCAGAAGCCTCTCTAAGCTGGAGGCCCAGGTATAGTCTAGAGCAGTGGACCTGGAAGGGTGGCCCATGGACCAGCAGTATTAGCCTCACCTGAGAATTCAGAAATACAAGTACTGAGGTCTCGGCCCAAAGCTATCAATCGATCAGAAACTGACAGTAACAGCATTCCATGTTCGCATAAGCCCTCCAGGTGAAAATGAGGCTCTCAAATTAAAAGACCTACTCACAACTGCCCGCCCCCCCCCCCCCCACACACAAACACACCCTGCCAGAAGCCCACACCTGTTACCTGACAGGGGCATCACGCTATCCAGAAGGACTTCTGCTCCCTGGAAAGGCAGGGTCACAAAGTCAGACCTAGAGCAACAAGAAAGGAACACGTTGAGCATGTCCCTGAAGACTGACTCCACTCCAGGCTGGTAGTTATCTTGTTAGTGCCATGAGCCCAGCCGCCCAGGGGGAAGCAGAGCAGATACTCATGATGGGACAGATATCGATACCTATGATGGCTCAGCCCCCACACACCTGGATGCAGGCTGCCAGTTCTGCCACAAGCCTGACCTCAGAGGGTCTTCTTGCATTTAGCTCCTAAAAAGAAGCTGCTTTGCTTTTGCCATATGATACTCAGGGAAATTCTTCTAAGATAGGCCTACCTGGTTTAGTTTGGCTGAGGTGAGCAATGGAGTTTGTTTATATCAGACTGTTAAAGCAGAGCAGATAGCAAGAAAAAGTAACCCGTGTCCCAGGCTTAGTAGAACTGAGCCAACCAACAGAAATCCGTCCCCTCCTAAGCAGGGTGTGTGCCTGAGCAAGGAGCCTGGACTCACCGGATTTGCCGGAGCACGTCCACTTTGACTCTCTTATATCCCCCGTAGTCCACGTAGCGAATTTCGACTTCGTTTGTGTCCTCGTAGGAGGCCACCACTTGTGCTCGCCACCAAGCACCATCCGCACCAGGGGCTGCACAGATGACTGTTACTGCAGGAAAGGAGAGAGCTGTGGGCAAGCCTGGCCCAGGCCAGGGCACCAAGGGCTGCCCAGTCAATGCTACCCGCCTGCCCACATTCCTTCCCAGAGGCCTGCCCTTCCAAGTACCAGGGAACCTGAAGAGCAAGGAGTCCCTGAAGCCTCCCCAGAGCCTAAGACTGGCCTACAAAAGCACCTGGATGTGGGACATTCAGCCTAGCAGGGTGCCATCCTAAAATCATCCAGACCAAAAGCATTCACCTACGTCCATGTACTCTGAAACTTACTGGAGCCTCACATGGACACAGATGAACCAGAATAAAAAGCAAAATACAGCCCATCCATTGAGCATCGACCTATGAACCAGGAGGTCACAGTTCGATTCCCGGTCAGGGCATATGCCCCAGTTGTGGGCTCGATCCCCAGTGCGGGAAGTGCAGAAGGCAGCTCATCAATGGTTCTCTCTCATCATTGATGTTTCTATCTCTCTCTTCCTCTCCCATCCTCTCTGAAATCAACAGAAATGTATTTCAAGGAAAACAAAACAAAAACGCCACTCCACACCATGGCTCCATCAGCCAGTACAAACAGCAGCTTGTGCTAGCCAAGCAACTGAGCCTATAGCATGAAGTCAGAAATGCTGGTCCATGAAGGATCCAAGGAGAAGAATAAGCCACCCCAAAAACCTTTCCCTGGCCTGGCTCCTGCAGCACTTACTTTCTACCGGGGTGGGCAGGGTGGGGATTCCAGGCTGAGAGTAGCAGAGGTACATTTGCTGGTCCAGGCTGCGCAGTGCATGGAAGGTAGGGTGCGTGTGTTGCTGCACAAACAGGTGCCCTGCATTGACCTGGTTGACCACGATCACTTCCACAGTGATGCCATCTGGGAGCATGAGCTGTGGAGAGGAGAGGGGTAGCAGGCACTTCAGTAATCCTTCTCATGTTTGGGTTAAGCCATGAGGTCCCAGGACAAGTCTCTGAACTGGCATCTCTTTGAAAAAAGCATGGCAATCCAAAGCACATGGCACACAGCTGGCAGGGGATGGAGGAAAACTACTTAAGCATGCAAGTGCTTAGACGCCACTATGGCCCTTGTCCTGCTGTGCCATGAATAACCACTAGAGGCGACCTCACACAGGGCTGGGAAGGGAGGCTCCCAGGAGCAGGCTCTGGAGGCCGTGCTAGGCTTCCCCTTAACTGACCAAGGTCCACGGACCAAAGCTTCCCCAGCCCCCACCTCTAGCATTCTTGAATCTCTAAGACCCCAGGAAGGCCAAAGGGAATGAGGCAGCCACTGTGAGCAAGGTGTCAAGGTGGATAGGCCCTCAGGCCCCGCAGCTAGCTCCTCTGGGCCTGCAGCTGACCCCAGGAGCTTATGGTTGGACAGCATCTCTTTATGCTACCTTTCTGTCAACAAGGGTCCACTGTCAAAGTCTGCAACAGTCTGAGTCATATTTGCTCTTCTCTAGGCTCCACAGACATCCTCCCAACTCATTCCCCCGCTGGGATTTAGAAGGTAGGTTTGCTCTGTGGCCAAGCCCCACTTTAAAGGCCCTGAAGAGGCCAAGACTAGTCTCTGAAAGAACTGTCCACACATACTAGCTTTCCAGATGCTAAGCTACAGAAACCATCCTGGTGCTGTGGACACAGCAGCGCATGTGGTCCATCCTCCACCCAGGTGGCACAAGAGGCTTGACTGGGAGTCCTGGCCTCCACCCCTCCAGTCCCACTAGCCATCCAGAGAACACGGGAAGGAAGCCACACCCACCACTCAATTATCTAAAAATAAAGAGTGGGTCTGGGGCCACGCCTCCTAAGGAA